CGAAAAGGGGTCACGCAGGGAAGTTGATGTTTCTCGCGTGAGATGTATCCTCAGAATTGTAAGTTGAACGAACAATACATGTGCACTAAATAGACTTATGGGGATACTTGCGTTTCCTTGAAGCTTAGATCCCAGCTCCAGACTATCCATCAACTTGCAACATCTCGTCGAGTAAACCAAAGTAGAAATAGACAGTTGAGGCATTCTATTCACTGGTCATTCATCACAAGAGGATGAGTCTCGGCATAGCAATGCTCCCACCGGCTGAGCTTCAGAGAGAAAAGCCTACTTAGATGTTGTATGTATGATAGTCACGCGAGGTTGAGGAGCAAAAGACGTGCCATCAAGGGTATGAAGCAATACCAAGAACGCGGCATTCAAAAATGGCCAAAGCTATCAAATCATCCATCCTACACTTTTAGTTCACTAAGACGACGACATACGGTGATGTCGTCCCGTCATGCTATCCTTTTCCCCAGGTACAAAGACCAAAAAGAAAAAAGTCGCCCGAACGAAGCCCGGTCCAGAACTGATCTACACGTAACTTGGGACGGCAGTTCACAGACGCCCGCAACGTTTCTTCGCCACTTGGCCCCCATATATATCGGATTGAGAGTTTCATGATCTACAACGTGCCGTGCGTGCCTGGTAGACAGCGAGGAAGCATGGTAAGAGGTAAACAACATCCACGGGAAAACATGATGCTGGTTTCTCCGGCATCACCAACAGACGATATCGACACATCTGATGGTGGCGCGAGAGGGGGAAATCCGAAGCCAAGGTTGACCCAGCCCTCTTCCACGTGGTTTTTGTAACTACGCATGACGACGTTGAACCTGTTTACGTGGAAAAACCGAACGTACCTATCCCGACACGAATTCACGCATTCCCATCCCGCCCTCTCAGCCTCCACCCTCCCCCTCCCCAACTGAAGCCGGGCCAAGAAGCAAGGCGGCGGTGTGGGGTCGTATATCGCAACCGTCAACGGAAAGAAGAAGGCAGTGCAGTTTGAGAAAGGCTTCCCGAGAGAAGAGGGACCAATATATTAGACACTCGGGACTGCGGGAGGGCGAAACGAAGCGGCGTGGGTCACTCTGACCTCCGAGGACTTGTGGCTCCCATCCCCCGAACACGCGTAGCTGGCCAACGCCCGCCCGCCACCGGGGGACATGTGTAGTCCGAACCGAACAAGACTTCACCGGTGTGCGGGAAGAAGGGATTATCTCCTCCTGTCTTGGGCGGGAGCCCGCACTAGAGCTCATTGCCGAGTGGGAGGTGTCAAAAACCAACCAACGACAAGGGAAAAGGGCCGCGGCAAAACTTCATGAGCGTGGACGAGTTTGGTAGTCCTTGCCCTCGGTATGATGCCTTCTTTCGAGCCTCAAATGAGCGGCTGATCAGGCAATGAGAAGCTAAGCTACGGTTTACCTACCACGAACGACCGGATTCTGCGCTGCCCGACCGTCTCTGACGGCAGAGATCACAAATACCCCCCTCCCTCTCCCTTCCCTCCTTGCACCATGCTATCAGACCCGAACATCATTGAAGGGAGATTTACCGGCCGAACGTCGATCTCTGATACCCCTCCCCGCCTGGAACGAGCCTCCTCCCGATGACGAGCAAGCCGTTTGTCACCCATCCCCGAGTCTCCCGCGGCGGCCTCTGCAAACATGCAGACACACACACACACGCAATAAGCTGATCCCCTTCGTTGGACCTTGGAAGGACTTCCTTTTCCGGTAATGGTCATGATATGAAACACGGCGGTGCGGGGGAGCAGAACAAAAGAATTGGGCTTGCTCCAGATGGACGGGAAGACGCGTAACGTCTGCAACACTACGTAGGGAGGGGACGAGAGAGAGAGCCGCAAACGACAGCAGCCATTAGCATAGAAGGGAAGACTGGGGGAGACCATTTTTCCACCGTCGTCGAACATGGCGAGAAACGACGGAATCTTCAGCGGTTGGTGGATTCGAACCATGTAAGACGCGATGGCTGTTTGGCAGCATGTAAATGATTTTCAAAACTCCGCACGCGGCACAGCTTTTTCTCTTCGCGAACAATGAAATCGAGACCGAGGTTTCGCGAAGTTCCTTCTGTATACTTTCGGGTTCTAGGTTTTGAAAGTTGTCCATGCGCCCCATCCTCAACCCGGAGAAACCTGTGATTTGTCGTTGGTTGTTAGACTAGGTTGTTGGTGGTGTCAGCAAGGTAGTTTGCTATCACGTCGCCAAGAGGCCTTTGGTGAGAGCTGCTGCCACCATCCAACTGCTTTTCCCATTCTTTGTCTGCGGGTAGCCGTCGCGGATGCGGCACGGGCAGGGTGTCTTTTCTTGACGCGAACTGTCATCCTTGATCTTATTGGGAGTGATTGTCGTCGACTTGTTGAAGAGCCGCGCAAGGAAAAATGAACCCAAGTCCAGGCCTAACCAGGACCCTGTCTGTCACCAAAGCTGTCTAACACAGGCAAAGCACTTGCAACAAGCTCCAGCAGCTTCGCAAGAAAGCATATATTGATAAGGCGAGAGCGACGTTTGCCGCTGCTGACCATGTTCTAGAAGATCTATTGTAAGGTTTTGCGACGAGGATGAAGACCAGACGAGTTTGGTGAGAGCTATAGTAGATAGCTTTCGCCGCGGGCTCCGTGATGGCGGGACGGGGAGGAAGATGGGGTCAGGGCAGGGCAAGGCCTTGAAAGTTGGCGTAAAGAGGCCAGTCAAGGGCACGTGGTGATGGTGGTCATCTCGATTATGGCCATGCTATGCCATGCGGCATGCCATGTCCACGATACGATGGATGAACCGAGCATGGCATGCATGGCGGGGATGAGCATGAGCAGGTTCGGGGAGGGGATAGCTGGAACTGGCCTAGGCTGTCACTGGGCTGAGATGGGGCCAAAAGAGAATGTGTGTATAATTAGCCCATTGATGATGCTATTTCGAACAGATGGGCCATGGGTCATGGGTCATGGAGGGGGGAATCGGGGAGGAGGAATATCAAGTTGGGGTTTGGTTGCAACGTGGATGGAGGTTGGGTGGGCTCAAGGTGGAAGATTTGCGTGATGGATGTGGCAGGATGATGGGACGAAAAGTCACGAAATGGGACTGATGATGGCAAGAGGTTCGCATTGAAGTGACGGATATGGAATGGAGTATGGAGTTTGGGATGAGCGGGAATGCCGTCGTGTCATCGGGTGTGGTGTGGTAAAACAGGCACGGCAGTCGTCTTCAGACGTTAGTCGTCTCAAGTCAGCCTTAGCAACCCCAGTTGGGAAGGCAGCCAACTGCCAAGCACAACCTATGGAAGTCGCCAATTGGACCAATTGATACTGGTTATGACTTCCTAATACTATCAAGCGCAGTCAGACGGACGATGAGGTAATCATGCAAGGTACCGCGGCTTACCTTAGCATCGTGTGTTAAGCCCAAGGTGTATCCGTACTTCGTACCTATGTACATACTCAGGTACCTTACTACGGACACGTATGAATGGTGGAATAAGGTAGTGTGTCGACATCAATAGCATCACCCGCGTTATACCTCCTTCCCTTACCTTACGGCTTGGCCTTGCGTCTCTTCTCACAGCGAGCTCACGCAGTAAGGCGATTCTCAAGTCTAGACAGAAGCGGGTGACCCAAGCAGTGTAACTTCCCCCATATCAGGATTCGCTTTGGCCCGCCCAGATAATGCCTGGCGATTGCGACTCATAAATGGGGTTTTAAGATGAGCTAAGACCGACCCTAACGCGCCTTTGCCGAAAGCTGGGCTGATGGAGAGTTGAGGTTAGTTCCATTTCCCCCAATGACTTTCCAGCTGATTGTCTATCCCAGCTGGGGACTCTTCTTAACTCACCTCAACTATTGAATAGTCTCTCTGTCTCTCGGCTCTCCAAGGCTTCCCGAACAACCTAACCAATCCCCCCCCTCCCCACCCTTACCTTACTCGAGTGACAGCAACTTTCCCCGTTGCGTGCAAGGCACCAGGCACAGGGCCACACTACCGCGAGAAAGCCGCCTTCACTGCAACCGTAGTCTGCCAGGGTACACAGTAAGGCACGGCAGTCCCGAGGGTGAACAACTCAGAGGCTCTCGTAGCTTCACGGCACACCCAAATCAGAGACAGGGCAGGGCCACCGCCAGAACCTGGGGGCCAGGGATTGACACTAAAATTGGGCGTGGACATCGAGTGGGCACGGGCAAGCTTCGGCGGAGTGAGGCCCGTCAAGGCCGGCCTCTTTTTTGTTGGTGAGTTGAGTTCACTGAGTTTGTTGACTTTATTGTTATCTGTTTCTTTTCTTCCCCTTTGCGAGTTCCATTTTCATTTCGGAGGCTCCTCTCTCGGAGTATCGTCTCTGAAATTCCCCGTGCTGTTTCCTTCTCCCACCCCCGTCTAGGTTCTTCTTCGGGGAAAAAAGAATGGAGAAAAGTGGGGGATTGGGGCCGTGAGCACACTGGGAGGCGGTTTGAAGGTGGTGGGAATTTCCATCTCGCTTTGCTACTGCAAGGAGCGGTGCCTCACAGACGATACCCAAGAAGCAATAAGAAGAAATCGAGGGGAAACTCAATTCAGCAGGTAGAATTGCTACCTATCCAGTGGTCACTGGTCACACACACGGCAGCCAGCCACGCCATGCGGAGGAAGAATGCCAAGACAAAGGGGAAACGGGGGTAATGGGCAGAAGGAAAGAAAACAGAGGGGATCCATAACATGAAGAAAAAGGAAGCAAAAAGGATCCGGCTGTGGTGGAAAACCCGAGTTGTGGAGTCGAAGCAAATACCGGCGGCCGGCAGCTTCGAGTCTTGTGCCGCGGCCTAGGCCATGCCATGCCATGACAATCAATGACAAGCCTTTCTTTGCACTTCTACCCTCTAGCCAGGGCCCAATCTCGTTGATAGGTACCCGCAAAAAGAAAGAAAATGTCCAGACCGCACCTCAACCTCGAGTTGCTGGTATGCAGCTGGCGTCTTATGTGATATTCCCTACAAATAACACAGTCCGGCTTCCGTCATCGTACCCACGATACCCTCTTTCACCCTGGCGGGAAATCACAGGAATCCAGATTTCAGGGCCCCCAGTGCTCACTTCACCCTCGATACTGGGAATCGGGACGCTGGAACAGTGGACGCCGCAACGGGATCCTCTTGCAGTCATTACGGATGCCGCCTATCTCTGATGACACTGTCGCAGTCCAGGCCGACGTGCACTAGCACTGCGTCCGTGAGTTGCTGCAAGCAAGTATCCGCACCCATTCCATCCGCACAACAACGGGGGGGGGGGGTAGCTATCTCTCCACCGCGCTGCGACCTCCCGTCGTCGACATCGACTCAAGAGTCAAACCCACATCCACCCACTCACTGCTTGGTGGAGAGAGGCATGGTGGAGAGCGCGATGAGCCTAGCGAGGTCTATTTCATTTTCAACTTCTCATCAACCCATACCCATACACCCAGGGCCAGCACCTTGGCGTCCGTGTCGGTGTCTCCAGAGTCCCAGAGTCAGTGCAGAGAGGCTCATCTGCCCACGCTGTCAAGGGTCGTTGCAAACTCGCGCCTTCTCCGCCTTGTCTTGTCAGACGACCAGCACCTGAATCGCCGCGCATTAGAATCGTCGTGAAGAAGGTTTAGCACCATGCCTCATCAGTAAATGATCACAGCCGATGATAGTAGTTTGACAAACGCAACGGGCACTGTTGCTAGTGTACTTGGTGCATCTGACGAGACCCGCATCGCATTCGCACGAGTCTAGCCCAGTGGAATGCCCAGACATCGGGTTCCCGCTCATAGTTATCGCATTTCGTGATTATCCCCCTTGCGCTCCGCCGCTCGCATAGAAGACGACGTGAGCACTGAGTCGTTGTCGTTTCTCATGCTAGGACTCTGGAGTCTGCGGATATGGATTTTGACAACAAGTCATCAGGACAGCCGGCGGGGATATCGGAGAGTGGGACGGTACGAGACGAAACGAAATGAGATGGGCGCAAAGTCGAGCTATCGAGCTTCGTCCACTCCGAAGCCGTCGCTCTCACCGTCAATGTCACGACGACCAGCCTCCAAAGCCACCCTCCAAAGCCACCCCGAGCCACGTTGCAGAACGGTAGAACCTGGAGCTTGGCGACAAGGCTGTTTGTTGTTCTGGTTCACTGGTGAGCTCAGAGCTCAGAGCTCCAAACTTAGAGCTGAGACCGAGGAATGCGAACTCGGAATGAGTGTCTGTTCCCACGCCCACAGACTGGATCCAGGGCCACGGTTCGTAAAATAACGTTCAGTGACACGGAGCGCGGTGAGGTGTGCAAGCTTGTTGCGACGTCTCACAAGGCTCAGGCGCAGGGACTTTTTGGCCTCCCGCTCGTCGGATACTAAGGTTAGATGCTCCGTAGTGTAGATAGACAGTTGGCGGCGGGCGAATAGATGAGACCGGCCGATGCAATTCATTTCAAAAGTCAGATTGCCTTAGTGGGCGGGTACTCGGTGGTATGGTAAGGGTAGGCAATTTGATGAAAAACAATAACAGTAAGGCAGAGGCTGCTGCAGAGGCCGTCAAGGTTGACCGTCGTCGTGATCAATGGTGGCAGTGTTCGCAGAGGGTCCCGCTACAGGCAAGGTACTGTATCCGTAGGCTGTTTAACTGTATGCGTACTCCATACATCGAAGTTTCCAGGTTGGAGGAGCAATTCGTTGACCGCTCGACTGGGGTGATGCTCGTTGGTCGGGACGACTCGTATATCCGTGTCCGAGGAGCTGGAAGGGTTCAGTGAAGTCTGTGAAGGGGGGAACGTCCCGACTGGACCGGTGACCTGGGATGGTGTGGGATACGTACCTAGGTGCCTTCTCACCGTTCGGATGCCACCTTACCTAATATCGTCCGATCGGCACATTCAGCCTGGGCTCCCCTGTCGGTGCCTGGGAAGTGACATGTGCCCCGCTCTTTCCAGTCCCTTTTAGACATTTAGTAAATACACTGGATAGTAGCATATAATCCACTTGGAAGATGGGAAGCCGTTTCTCCACCCTCCTTTTACGCATACATGAATACGCAGTATGGATCTGGACCCTCCACACCTCACATCCAAAACTGCCTAAACCCAATCCAATGTAGGTACGCGAACAACACACCAAAGCTCGGCACTGGCACCCAAAAGTGCCCACGGCGTTGCAACGGTGCCGGGGGAGAGACCGAGTGAGGACCTCAGAGCGGCTGAGACTCCCCGTCGCGGACGACCATCGAAACGGAGCAGGCCCGCTGACGACCGAATACCACTCTGGTTCCTTCCGGAGAGGTGGGCGGACAAAGTTGCAACGAAGCCAAGGACCAAGACTCGAAAGAGGCACACACGCACCGAAAGGGACAGATGCTCAGGGAGAAAGAGGACAGAATGGTACGTCAGTGGTAAGACGATGGCCCTGCCGAGCGGAGGCTCTTACAAGATACCCGTCCCCCCGGGCCTCGGCCCTCGAGTCCTTTGATTTGATTTCTAGATCGCACCATCTCCGGATCCCGCGCATCTGAAGCATCGGCAGACGTCTGCTAGGTGCCTCGCGTCATGTCCGCCGTGCCGTGCCCACCGCAGTCCATGGCCAGATTCTATTCTTCCATGATCCATCCCATGGCGGGCGGCATGGCCCCGGTCTTGACTTCGGCTTCTAGTGGACGGAATCACGGGTACGCATCGAGAGCCTCCATGAGTCTAGGGATCATACGGACCAACGCGGACTACGGACAAATTCGCAAACTCATTAGCTTGACACTGTCCGCGATGGGACCACCATCATCCATGACCTTGAATTATCGTGGCCGATACCGCCATGCACGACAGAATCTTCTTCCAAGGGAACCCACCCTTTTTTTCTGCTTCAGTATCAGCGTGCCAGGCAAGCCTTTGATTGCAAGCTTGTCAATGTCGTCTGCTTGCGAGATATCCGCACCATGATGCAGCAGGGGCCTTTTTGGAATTGCCTCATTTGGTTTGGTCGCTGCCCACAACAAACCCCCGTGCCAAATCTTCCACTGCTCAGAAGCCTTCCTTGAATCCTGGAAGCTGGCACTGGCAGACAATGATATCCGCACACACCGCAACTGCAAAACCCGGGCATGTCTTGGCAGCCATGGACCAGCAGCGATGCCCGTTTGCCAACTTGTCGTCAGGTCCCTGGGCTTTCATCTCGTCTCCGGCTTCATCGTCTCCACAAGCGCACGCACATCAACGGCTCCGTTCCAAGTCATGGGCTCACGCTTGAGCCAGTGCCAGGTAGTACCTTTGTCTTTGACGGTATCCATCGCCCGCATCTGCCATGGAAACTTGTTGTTGAAGACTTCAAAGTTCACGGACGCCAGATACCGTTGGTGGCATTCAGGGTGCCAAGCAGCGATTCAACGAAAAATCTCGCCCCCCTGCCCCCCTTCACTTCCTACGTCTTGGAAAAGTTGGGGATTCAGGACCGGCACTCGAAAGGCTTGTCGAGGGGAGCCCTGCTCTTACTGCAGCCGCACCAACCAACCCGCTTGACCTGCTCGTCCCGTCGCTGGTGTGACAAGCCATGCCGAGCAATCGGCCACCCGTCTGTCACCTGCAATTGACATGGCCTTGTCGCACAAAGTGGCGAGTTGGTGCTTTTTGCTCGAGGCCGGGAAACTCTGTCATCGCACGGCCGCTAGTGCTCGCCGACCTTGAGAAGACGACGCATCCCGGGACCTCCCTGTCCAACGGTTTTCAAGCCTGCTTGCCTCGAATCTTGACCGAATATCTCGAGTCCTCGTTGGTCAGATGCGCATCAAGGCCGCCCACAACTCAGACCGAGTTTCTCCCATCGACCTAATGCAAGTCCATCGCCGTGGCGAAGACCACAGCCACGCGTATTGTGCGCGGTCGGGCGCGGGCACAAATGCAGTTGCACATGGTCGAATCCTGCAACTTCTAGACATGCAAAGGCTTGCGCAACAGCGATGCTAGCAGCTTAGCAGCCTCGGTGATGAAAAGTTGTAACTTCAGCTCCACTTGACTTGGCTTCTAATCACCGTGGAGACACATGACTCTGGGGTGAGTGGAAGACTCTGAGACTTCTGAGGGCAACCTTCGTCACCGCAAGGGGCACTGGAACCGAGGGCCTTGACTTCGAATGGCAGGTAAAGGCGAGTCCAATACGACTGCAACCCTCGAAACCTATTCATAGCCACCCAAGGTCCACAGTGCCGAGGGTGACGAGAATGGGCTCAGCGGACCGGTCACCGACGAGCAGAGTTGGGGAGAGAAACCTGCGTTAGCCTTAACGGCGCGGATCGCGATCCATGCCATGTCCTCTTCAGCCCATGTTGTTCGCCCATGCTGCCTGTCACCGAGCATCGACAGCAGCGCCGCCGCACGCGTGCGCACCTGTCTCGAGTTCTAGACGCAATACAACACCAAATTATCCGCACCCACCACATTCGGCCTTTGCTTGAAGAGCCTCAGAATCGCCAATGCCCGGCCCTGGTCACCGGCCCCCGGTGCTGTCTCTGGCGGCACAGGCGTGTTCACATGGCCGCTCTCCGAAACTGCATCTATTTCCGCCGCCGAAGCGGCTACCTGCTCGTGGCTGCGGCTCTCCGTCGACTTGACACAGACCAACGATTGCTCCACGAAGGGCGGGTGACGGTGGATCTGATGCTATTTTCTGCTTGTACGCATCGAATAGAGTGAGTGCAAGCAGGCAATGCAGGTTGAGGTTACGATCCTCCCAAGAGTCTTGAAAGACATTTCGCGTTGTACAAACGGACCCGACGACGGCTTCGAGGCTATCACCGGGTAATCGCTGTTAGTCGGGCGGCGGCCAGCGTCTGCGGTGTGACTCGAGTGGCCACAGCCGCAGCCGCAGCAGCCGCATCCTGGAGTGTGGCTGCTGTCTGGTCTGCCGTCTTAGGCCCCTTTGGCTTATACACGCCCTAAGTTCCTAACTGCAGCACTGCTTATTTGTTTGGACGAGGCGGCGGGATATCGAAGCCGGGAAAGCAAAGGGGAAATAAGCAAGTTGTCCCGGACATGCAAATGCAGTATCCATGCCTGCGTACGGATCACACAAACACAGGCACAAACTCCTTGTTTTGCAGATCGCGGGTCAGACAAGAGTTGCGTTGCGCTGCGTTGGTTCAGCCAGTGTCATCTCGTACGGACGTACGTACGAACCAACCAACTGTACTGAAATGCCGTTCTCCAATTTGCCCGTTGTCGAGGAGGCAATCAGAATCAATCTTGCATCTCCGCACACTAACTTCAAGCCACTAGCTTTTCTGTTTTCTTTCCCTCCTCCCTCCTCACTCCAAGGCGTCGTCACTCCTTGCTAGCGCATTGGGCATCCTAGGATTCTTCTGCAGTTTGATGCCGGCTTTGAGTACCGGCTGCATCCACTGTATGTCAGACAGGTCGGGTTGGCAGGTCCAACGACAACGATAGATGAGCCGAGACTCGAGACTCGAACGAGATTATCGACAGTCCCTGACTGACGCGGACTGCAATCAGCATGCGCCTGCAATCCCAAGGCATGGCAACTGAGACACGCCAAAAGTCCCGCCTCGCTGGATCAAGGTGGATTGGAGATTTGCCAAGACTCTTGGAGGGTGAAGGTGACGGGCAACACGCAGGTACGCCAGTTAGCGTACTGGGAGCCACACGCATGCCGGGGTTGCTGTCGAATGGGCAAGTTGTAACGAAAGAGATTCGCGCGCGCGCGCGTCTGCAGGGGGGCGTGGAATGGCAAGTTTGGACGAAGTGCTCGCTGGACCATGGCCCCACGGTTGCCGCGCTGTCGGAACCTCTTGGATCTCCCTAGCGCGTCTGGCTGGCGATTCAGAGATCTCTGGGAAGCAGAACCAGGTACTCCCTGACAGGCCTTTGTGTCAAGTTGATGGCCCGACGGGGCGCCGGTAGATTTGGCGCCCTTCTGTCTTTCCCACCAGCTCCCTGCTACACCGAATACGCCCAGCCGTCTTCTGGTTCGACTCAGGTACCTTGGACTTGAGCAACGGGACTTCGGGTAGCCCGCGAACAGCTGTTGTAACGGCTGGCGAGTGGCTTGCAGACCTGCCAAGTTGTGTACCGAGCGAGTCCCTCTTCGGATTTGCCTACGATCAGTATCAACGGCAGCCCGATCTTGAAGCAAGTCACCCTGTCCTGGTCGGTGGTGGAGTTGTGGTGGTATGTCTTGCCTCTGTCTCTCATGCCTTGGCTTCCTCGGAAAGTTGCACGCTACCCATGCGACAGAGTAGGTAATTCAATCGGGTTCTCTGTATTACTACGGCCAGACGTACAGACAGCCGTCCCAACCAACAAACAGTCAGCCTGCAGGGCGAGGCTCGCAAGCAAAGCAGGGAAAGCAACAAGCAGTAGCATGCATTGACGGATGTAGCGTCCGCGAACGCTCCCGTGTCTCATGGATGGGCCTGATGGACCTTGATGAGCCTGATACCTGACGCCCATCACCCGTTCCTCTCATCTTGGAGCTGTTCTTTGGGATCAACACAGGCATGGCACCAGTCCCCAACCTGGTCGGAACAACATTTTGAGCAAAGTTTGGGAAACGACATGCACATCAAAGTCCACCACGATTGCTCCTGTCAAATGGACTTGTCGTCTCTTCTCCTGCAATGCGTGCAGCAGTGCCGGAAAGAAGTCCACGGGTGGCGTTCCTGTATGGCAGGGCACGCCGCACACGGACGGCCGTCGCGGAGATGGATTCCCACTCTTCTGCGCGACGAAATTGGACAGGACCCGGCGACCGCACGACACGATCCACACACCCGTGGGTTGGCCCAGCCCACACGCAGCATCGCTCTCTTGCGCTTGGCCCCATGGGTTGGGTTGCTGTCGGTTTGCTGTCCCGATGACGAGAGCAAAGGCCCCCGGGGCCCGGGGCAAGCCTTAGCCAAGGCAAGGGCAAGGTGAGGCGAGACGAGGCGACGCGTCCGAGAGTCAGAGACTCGAGAGAAGGGAAGTGAAAGGACCGGGCCATCATGAGATTTCCAAGAAGAAAACACACCGACAAAAAAGCAACAGAGTGACAACCGACATGTTTTTTTTTGGTGTTACGTCTGTGGCCACTGTGCCCCATTTTTCGCTTTCTCACTTGGTTCCTGGTGTGAGAAGCTGGTCAATTGGTCATGCTGGATGTCACTTCGGACGGGTGGTAACTCTTATGAAGCAAGACCATTCTTGTTGTTCGTTCATCTCACCATTTTAATTTTCAAATGTCTGAATTCCAGATGGCAGCAGGCCTCCCTCGGTCTGAAGATCCTGCGACCGAGGACATCCCCGAGCGGCAGAGAGTTTGGCATAACCAGGCCCCCGACACCACCGACAACGCCGCGCCGCCGAGTCCGGATCTTGTCATTTTGACTTTGGGGGTCCATCCTTACAGATATTCTACACGTATGGTACGGGATAGATGGGCTAGGCATTTTTCCGTATAACGATTGTAGACTTTGGTGACGTGAGAGGCATCAAACGGTACGCTAGTGTGTAGGTTGTAGCTAGTCCCTCTCGCTTTCCGCACCGAGTATAGTCTCGCCTTGTCTCGTGATGTCTCTCTCTGTGTCTTTTACTCATCACCAGCACGCACCGATTCCTGCATCATAGTCGTCACGCATGGCAGCCGCGGAGGAACGAGACGAAGCGGATGCGATGATGCGAAAGTGGGATCCCCTAATTCCCCATCCCCATCACCAGCATGTAAGGCACATCGCTCCCCCCACACCCTGCTTCGCTCACTCGCATCACTCCGCGGGGGGAACGAAAGAAGATGATGGCTGGCTGGCTGCTCTGGCACTCTGGCAGGCCTGGCTTGATGAGGGGCCTACGATCACCCGTCCGTCGTCGTCGCCGCCGCCGCCGCCGCCCCCTGTCCGGATGACGAGGAAGATCCCTTTTTTTTTTTTTTTTTTGGTGACGTGCGTCGATTTGTCTGCTCTTCGAGTCTCTTCCCGCACCCAGCCAGCCAGCCCAGCCCAATGCTGATGTGAACGACCAACGACTTACCCCGGTCCGCAAGCGTACCCCGGCATAGGATGAAACCACGGTTCGTATGCCCTTCCCCTCCACCCTCCCCCTGGCCGGAGGATGCCAGATGGAAGCCTTCTACGGCCAAATCTGAGCACGGACATTTAGCAGCAGTAGTCGCAGCAGCAGGTAGTTGTTGTCTTGTCTGCGGTGTGTGCTGCACGCAAGGCAACGCAGCTTCAGCGCATGAGGAGTGCAGTGCAGTGCATCCAGCGGAAGGAGGATCATGAAGTGTTGTGTGTTAGTTCCACGCCCCCCTATTGAAGGTCAAGTGGACGATTGTTGCTGCTGGCGAGAAGTGAGTAAAAACCCCGACGGCGACGGCGCCTATGTAATGTGCGTATGACTTGTATGTAGGCATGTATGTATTTATGTGTGTATGTATGCGTGCGTGTGTATAGGGGTGTGTGTGATGGATTTCCCTCCGATGAAGGAACGTTTCTGGTTCGTTGGTTCCTGGAGAACTGAGAGATCTTCACTGCTCATTACCATATCCTATCGTTCTAGGCTCGGTCGGTCAGCCTCCTTGTGTTTGGGTGTGTGTGTTCCGAGCTCAGTTCTCTCCGTTCTCACTTCTCTCTCTCCCCGCTCACGATGCAAGGGGGAAGTGGATGGGCACGGTACGCAAACTTGAAGAGAAAGAGCATAACTCGACGGCGTCTCATTTCTGAACATTGCGGGGAGAGAGTAAGAGGGAATGAGTGATGTTTGGTTTAGGGGGTATGGATAGATGAACCACGCATATGCCGTCATTGTCACCCGAAGCGTAGTAAAGCAGAAGAGCCAAAAGAAGAGTTGCAGTGGTTGACTGCTTCTTGTTTACCCGTACCCCGTATCCCTTTCCTCCTGTTCTGAGGGTAATTGCAAAACTTTTCGGCACACGAGTGATTGGTCCTTGCATGAACTTGTCTCTCTTGACTGTCTGTGTGTACGGATAGAGACAGGACAGAACCAGACACGGCTCAACTTTTTCTTTGAGATGATCGGCAGGTTCGGTAGCTTGTTGGAAATGTGGAAATCGTTCCCGAGGCAAGTGTGTGAGAGCCTCACACGAACGGTATTGTAGACTAGATGGCAGAGGGAGGGCCCAGCGAATTCAGGTACCGAGACACCACACCACAGACACAAGTGCCATCATCCATGGCAAGGCAAGCAGGCAGCTTTGGATCATGGATGGATGGATGGAGTGATGGAGTGGCTACACCGTGACCCCACCACGAAATGGTCGGGAAGCATCGCGCGCACCATTTCTCTCCCCCCAAGATTACTCCTCCAAGACCACCAAGAGGTAAGACGAAAGGGAAAAAAGCTCGCAGGAAGAATGAGCCCTTTCAGCCTACGGCTCGTTCGGGCAGCTTTCCAACCTGACCTGACCTTACCCAGCACCAGTGCGGCACCACCATATCGACGCATCGCATCATTCGCTGCAACGCTACCGCTCTTTTCTTAGCTTTCGCTTCTCATGCTACCCTTGCTTGGAACCCCGGTACGAAGTATACGCAGCAGCTCTCGTCGAATGCGGTGCCTCTTCTCGGGATTCCCTGACGGAACAACACGCACACACACGTTCACAAAATCACACCAAAGAGTACTTTCCAAAACTCTCGGCATATACCTCACTGCAATACATACTCAACATAGTAAGATGAAGTACCTGACAAACCTGCTCGAATACACAAGCTGGAGAAAGAGCTTCCCGTTGTTCCTGGGGACCGGGTCGCCCATGTCAGCGGCCCTGACGCCCGTCGTTCGTAACTTCTCCCCACGTCCACCACGGCATTGACGAGCGTGGCACCTCTTCAGCCTGGCATAGATTGGAAATGACCGGGACTTTTCATCACCAGCTAAGCTAAGCTAAGCTAGCTAGCCTAGTATCCGACTTTCAAACACAGCTTCTCTCTCTCGTTGCTTTCTTCTTCACTGTCTCTCTTGGTCCGATCGAATCATAATGCACGTGGAGATTGGAATCTCGCGGACGTGCCGGACAAGGCCCGCAGCGCCAGGTCAGGCACCCCCCCTCTCTCCCCGGAGACTTCAATATCCCAAGTGCCGTGCTGTCAGAAGAGAAGCTACAGGAAAACTAATTAACCAGCTTTTCCGTTCGGTCACGTACATTTGACATATTACACCCACGCCGTAGACTAATCTGACCGCCTTCCTTTCCGCCGCCAAACTCGTTCGATTATTCCGGGGAGGGGTTTTGGCTCCAGCACGTCACCAAGGCGCGTTGGGTAACAACCTCAGTTTGCGTTTGCCCGTTGGCTCGTTAGCTTAGTTAGCTCTATCTCTCTTTTCCATCTAAATCTTTCGATAGCGGTAGTGCGCCGCGCCAAACCGTGAGCTTAAATCACGCCGCCTCATCACGCCAGGTCAGACACATTAATCACACAGACGGCGCATTCGTTGGAACACTTGGAAGCTCGTTTTCGTTGTTCTACGCGAGCACTAGAAGGCCGCTACCGCTACGTTGTAATCCACTTTTGCTCTTGCTCGAGACCACTAAGTTTCCTGCAACACGGCAACAGGGCGACTTAGTCAAGGGACCGATGTACACAAGATTGGAAGTGGACCGCAGCCAAAGTATCCGTACCCGGTGACAGCCTCTGGCAGACGGGCTCGCTCCCAGTCTCTCGCCTGTATGTTCTTGAGTGGAGAATCATGGCAACTGGCATTGAGGGACTGCGGGCTTCGAGAAACCGCATCTCTCCTCCCCTAGGCCCTGGTAAGGAGAGAGAGAAAGAGAGAGAAAGGGCACTCTGGAGTCTGTGAACATGCTTTTTCTCACTGCTGTGGGGAGGTTTGGCTTTCCGCTCATCCCATACTTAAGAGCCACGAAGATAGGTTAGTGTAAGGAGTAACTTGCGTGCGTTGCGGCGCGTTGTGTTCTCTGTACGCAACGTGCAGGACCAAAGGACATGCGCGTTCACTGTTTCTGCCCTCTTCTAAAACATGGCTGTACAGCAAGCGCGGCCCCAGATTCGGTCCAGATTTGGGAATACTTTGGTTCACCTCCGAAATCAAAAAAAAGAAAAATCCCACATGGCTGACACGCCGCCGTTTTCTCCCCTAATTCCGCCTCGGAAGCGGACAAGTTCCCCGTCTCTCTTTTCCCCCTTTGCTCTCTCACTCTCCATGTGCCTCCTTGATTCTGCCTCGAGGGACGCTGTGCGCTGCGGATAGTTAAGGTTTGTGTGTGCGTATCTACGTGTGCCTGTTTCCGTTGAAAGTGTCTGTGTGTACCCTTACCACGGTGTATCTTCCACCGTTCGCTGTTGATGTAAGACTGGGCGGCGGCGGCGGCGGCGAAAAGAAGAGGTCTTGAACCGAGACGAGGAAGATCGACTTTGTTGGAGGATCTGCTCATTGTCCGTCCATCCCCTTGCCTCGCCAAAGGCAGTCTGCCGGGGTCGGGAGTCATCCGTCGCCCATCAACCCATCACCATGCCCATCGCTTCTGTGTCCGTACCCGTTACCCGTTACCGTACCCTGCCTTGCCTCTGTTCGGTTCTCCTCTCTGGCCGCCTCTTGCTCCAGTCCTCGACCCATTACCCATTGCTCTCCCCGTCGAAGAGGATATTGATGATCGAGGGTGTCCGTGAAGAGAGACAGATCGAGAGACAGGACCATCCACTCGCCGGTCAATTACCAACTAAGTTGCCGCCGTCAGTCAACACACAGACATGCGCCAATCTTCCAAGAGTCTACCTATACGGCGTCTGCTCGTTACTGCGCTGTATCTCGCGAAAGCGCTCGCTGTCTCTCTGAGTCTCTCTCTCGTCCGGCCCCCTGCAACTACACTAGCACACTACCGCGATCCTTGTTCTCGCTCGCTCTCACCTCCACCCCACCAGATTTCCCGACCCTTCTTTTTCCTCGCGGCCGGCCAACTCAATAGACGCACACCTGGGGCTCTACCCTCCACTCCGTCCCGCTTCCCTTTGGGACGCCCTCCCCCGCAGCAGCCTTTCCTCAGGCCCTTTTTTGGTGTCCGCAGTGGGATGGGGACCAGAAAGCGAGCAGAGAGAGAAAGTGAACTGTGAGAGAAAGCCAGAGAGCTCCAGCAGTGACCGCACACACACCCACCCTCCTCATCGGCTCATCCACCTCCTCCGGCTCCCCCTTGATCGATGATCTTTTCCATTGGCCGTGGCCTCGGCCGGGCTTCTCGACAACGGTCATGCGTTCATCCGTGGAGTCGACACAGAGCTAATGTCACAGAGGATCCAATGAGCGTCATGCAGATATCCCAGCCGAGATGCCTCTTTCGCTCCTTGATTTCTTTTTTTTTTTTTCTTTCTTACTTTTCCCGAGCCGTCTTTTCGATTCTTTCTGTGTGCCGTCTTGCGTAAGTACGCAGTAATGTGTGTCAAGGGCTTGCGAGAGAGAGAGAGAGAGAGAGAGAGAGAGAGAGAGGCATGTGTGTATGATGTCGGGGCCTCGGAAGAGGAGGACCATCTGTCCCTGTGCAATATCGTGTGTATCCGTAACTTGTAAGTACACAGGGAGCCTTGAGGTGGTTTGTGATCCCCCTTCGCCTCGATGCGAGATCCATAGTATCATTATTTTTGGGGCCAAGCAGTCAAACCTTCGGCCGCGCCTTTCGGTGCCTGTGCCTGTGCCTCGCGCTTGTGCCCGTCTGGTACCTGAGCTTTTTTTCATGAACCCAGCTCCGGGTTCAGGTTCAGGTTCTTTTTTTGATCTCTCTGCGGCCGCTCCAAGCCAAGGGCCAAAAAAAAAAATGGAAAATGGGAACAGGCGCGGGAAAAGGGAGAGCCCCCGTTCAACCCTGTCTCATTCCCTCCTCTCCATTGCTCCAAAACCGCCCACCTGGTTCTGTACTGATTCAGGTGTCGACATCAGCCTGCCTATTCAGGCCTTCGCAGACAAGGTGACCCCGTTTCACCATGGGCTGCTCAACTCTGCTCAGCTGGCACGCCGCTGCAAGAAATCTGTCATCTCAATCTGGGATATCTCTCTTCTTTTGCCTTTCCCAACACGGGCCAAGGGTCAGGTATCTCGCTCACTCACACACACAGACATATTCCGTACTCTCTCTCTCTCTCTCTCTCTCTTTCTCTCGCTCGCGCTATGCCGTGCTGGGCTGAAAATGACGGAATGGTGTTGGGTAGGTTATGGGTTCCAGGACATTCAATGGCAGCACGGCATTAGCCATTCAGCCGAAAATCTTAAGGCCATGGGCTGTGGTGATATAGCTGCTACCATCGTCCGGTTCATCTGTCACCTCGCTTTGAGCGATCCTCCAGGCTCAGCCCAGGTCTTCTTCTCGAACACACAGGGTGGACACCGGAAGAGGAGGAGTAGGAGGGTACCACCGTGGGAACTTGGTAGTGCTTGGGAAGAAGACTGGACGTGGTGGACGAGAATATCCACACCCATACCACATTTGCACGCACATATGCATGTGGCTCAGCAGAGCAGCAGCATCAACAACAGCATCCCGCGACAAGAGCAACAGCTGGTATTAGCTGCCCACCCACGTTCGCGCGTGCCCCGACTGACTTGTTGATGCCAGGAACTGGTGCTGCTGCTGCTGCTGCTCTCCCAGACCACCTTACCCACCCCTCCCCCTACCCTACCCTACGGATCCATCCCCTACCCTGCAGTCCCCTTCCCTCCCCATCTGTCCATATCCACATGGACAAATCTACATCCACATCCACATCCCAAATATACACACCCACGTCCAAGCCGGGGGCCTGGGGCCTGGCGGCGGCGACGGCGGGCGGGCAAAGCTCGATGCCATGGCATGAGCTGCTGCTTGTGCTTCTACTTCTGCTTTCTCTGCTACGGATACTGCTGCTGCGGCTTTTCTCTCTTGAGTCGGCGAGCCTTAAACCATGCATCGGGTCCCTTTTTCAACCATCTCATGCTCCACTGCTACGGTACCTGAGTACCCTCTTCACCCCAGTCATCCTCGTCCTCCTCGACACCACCAGTCAGGTACCGAGTACTCTCGAACCCTCGTCGTTGAACCAGCCGTTGTTCCTCTCCCCCCCATCGTGGCCAGCTGCTGCTGGCTGCCCGTGCTGGCCCTGGCTCGAGTCCCAAGTCCTCCTGTCCGGATCCAGCCTCGACATTTCTCCGTGTGGATGGCCGTACCCTTCGGTATTAATTCCACCTCTGTCAAACTAAGAAGCAAGGGCTTCCTTACAAGACCGCCTTATTACAACCACGGGTATCCTTCAGACTTGCCATACATAACGGGGCCTGTCAGTTCCAGGCCCAGGAACGCCTCCCAGTCGATCGACCCCGCCATACTATCAGTTGGCACACCCTCAAATTTATACAATATATGATCGATCCTACCTCGTGGGACCTGGGGTAGCCAAGTCCTCTTTCCCTTTTTCAACATCTTCTCTTCCTTTGCCCAAAACGACTTGACGCATCAACGCATCATCCTCTCTCTATATCTATACATCACTCTCACTCTTACACTCTCTCTTTTGATTAACTTGTTAAGAATCATCTCGGGACGGACCCAACTCCAAGGCCAGACACCTTGACCTTCCGACATCAACCTTACCTTGAATCATCAACATAGAGTGCTGTTATATTACCACTATCGGTTGCTTTTGTCGTACACCTTCTAGCTCATCTAGATCTCGACAAACATCGATAGCTTCCAACACAATCCCTCCAAACACTCCTTTCCCATCTGTCCTAGATTCAACCTCATCTTAGGACATTCTCTCCAGAGAAGCCCAGATCGTCCTTGTACCAGCTCGAAACAAGACCACGACCTCATAAACCGAAACCAACACACCTGTCCCAATGCTTGTTACCAGGCAGTTTGACACCACCGAGCAGAGCCAGTGGTCCTACAGCAAATTTGAGACTCCCCTCCACAAGGCCCCTACCACTCCTCCACGCATGTCGAACCAGTTCGAAGCTCCGTTGCCCACGCCTCCCGAGTGGCAAGGGCAGCAGTACTCTTACCTCCCAGGGCCGGAAAACAACGTCTTCTCCCAAGCATACGGAGCTGGCAATGAGACTTCGGATGCGTCGCAACCTCGCACAGCAACCGGCGCCCCTGCACAAGTAGAGATCCAGACGAAGCAAGAGCCCGGTCTGGACAACCGTGGAACAGCAGACCCCCTTGGACTTCGTCAAGTGAAGCAACCCACTCCGGAAGACGAGCCTGAGGACAGACAGCAGCAGCAACAACAGCAGGAACAGCGACAGGCATCGCAGTCCTTGGAGAAGACCGCAGAGCCGGTATCTCAGGAACCTACGGCGTCAACAGATATGCAGGGTCAGACAATGATGTCAAACCCGGCTTCATCAACAGAGCTCAGTGCCGATGCGTCTGCATCTCAGATGGACAATGACGAGGGTAGCTTGAGCAAGGACGAGGACGACGACGTGCTTGACGACGATGATATGCTCGACGATGGCGATGGAACCCCGCAGACGGCCGCAGAGCGGACAGCAGCCCGGAGGAAGATGAAGCGATTCCGGTAAGTTGAAGCAGGCATTAAGTATCATCAGCGGCATACTGACCAGGACGACAGTCTCACACACCAACAGACGAGATTCCTCATGAGTGAATTCGCCAAGCAGCCTCACCCTGATGCTGCCCACAGAGAACGCCTGTCGAGGGAGATCCCCGGCCTGAGCCCTCGCCAAGTACAAGTCTGGTTCCAGAACCGGTGAGTCTGCTCGCAACCCAACAAGCCATGAAGAGACAGTGGAACTAATCATGTTCATCAAACAGCCGTGCGAAGATTAAGCGTCTCACAGCCGATGACCGTGACCGCATGATCAAGATGCGCGCGGTTCCCGACGACTTTGACAATGTTCAGGCTCTTCACTCCCCCTACGGCGCGGTCCACGGTCTCAACACCCCCATGTCATCCCCCATGAACTTTGGAACACAGTCATACGCCGACCACATGATTCGTCCTTTGATGGTCGACGTCCGCAGGGCAGAGGGTGGCGAGGAGCACATGTCGTCTACGGGACTCAGCCCTGGATTTGGAAGCATCGGATTCACTCCCCCAGGAACCATGAGCAGCCCAGACATTCTCTCTCCCATGACGCCCAACTCGACTGGCGACCACCGCTACGGATACGGCAGCCACCTGTCTCCCATGGGCCCCGGCCCCCGAACTTCAAACCCTTTTGCGCGACAGGGCGCCCTCGAGAACTCCATGTCCATGCACCGCGGCCAGCCGAGCCGACCTCTTCAACCTCTCCAGCTCCGGGAGACCATGAACCGCTCAAGGTCGGACCTCAACTCTCCTCTCCGCTCCAGCATGTCCTGGAAGGGCGACGCCATCGACTACAGCTCTTACCACCACGGAGCCGGCGGAAGCCCTCAGCTGAGTGGAAGACAGCAGTCGGTCTACCAGCCAGAGCAGATGAGCGGCCCCTCGAGCAGCGGCCTCCCGTACGAGTCAAGCTCATACTCAAGTATGTTCTTATTACCATCATCTCATAGAATCTCGTGTCACTAACCCTGATTGTAGGCAACAACTCACCTCCTGGCATGAACTACTCAAGCTTCCCCGGCGGGCCACCAAACCGCCTGCGCGCCCGCGCCTCATCAGGCACCCTCGGCCTCGACCTCCGCAACCAGTACCGCTCCGTCAGCTCCGTCCCACCCCCGGGCCACTCCCCAGCCCCTCGCGCCACCTCGGCCCAGTTCGCCTACACCTCCAGCCTGCCCTCGGCCCCCCTCACCGCGCCCGTCGACTTCTCCCTGCCCCGCACGCCCGGCGCCCGACCCGGCGGCGTCCAGGACTACTCGATGCCGCAGATGAGCGCGCCCATCGCGGCGCCCAACGACTTCTCGCAGGCCTTCCACGCCAGCATGAACACCTCCAGCTCGAGGACGCCCATGCGCGATACCTTTGGCGGCGGCGGCCCGATGCCGCCTCAGCACGCCCCTCACGGTGCCCACAATGGCGAGTACGCACAGCAACAGCAGCAGCAGCAACATCACCAAGAACAACAGCGCGGAGGAGACGAGTACGGACACGAATTCGGCGCGCTGAAGAGGAAGAGAAGCTTCTCTAGCGGATCGCCGGCCGGCCCTGGACCCGCACCCGGACCGCAGGCATACGGAAGCACTGCATAAAGAGAAAAGAAAGAAACAAAGAACGTAAAAAAAAAAA